CCTTATAACCTGAACCCCTCACTCACTGCTCTTTGAATTGAGAAAGCTCCTCGGATGAGAAGCAGAACGTCTTCTGTTACAAATAAAGTCCAGTTGTTTTTGTATTGAACTTTTTTATTATAATGTGTGTAAACCCAACACAGTCTTACACCTTGGGCATGCTTTCTTTTCCCCTTATGCTGGAATAATTCATAGACCAGTGTGACTTAGCAAATAAAAAGCCTGTGCATGTATGAATACACGGTAAAAGGACTAAACTGAAAATACTTTGAACACAAAAAAGCAATGTCAAATGTTAAGACAATTTAAAAAAAATATAAATCTTACTAGAAACCAATACATTGTTTTGCTCAAAAACATTGCACTGCAGTAAAAAGAAAACATATTAAAAGTGGATTTTGTGTTATAATTTTTAACCATAAACTAAATAATCTTGTTACATGCCTTTGTTTTATTGCAGGTTCTACAGGTGGCTACAATGTGAGCTCTAGTGGCTCTAGTGACTCATTCTCCAACACTTGACAGTAAAAACTTTGGCCGACTCAAGAAAACCTCGAAGAGAACCAGCCTTTTGATTTTTGAAGAAGTTACAATATTACTTGTCATATGTTATGTCCTTAACGAGTTAAGTTTGATTTGTGTTTTTTCTTTTAATTAGGCCCGAGCAGCGAAGCGATGCGAAGGCGTATTGTAATCGCTATGTTCAGGCCCGAGCTACAGTTTTTTCCGCCAAATGAATTGGCGTTTTGGGGGCCTTAACATATCCCAAAAGCCACCAAATTTGGCAGACGCATCAGGACTGGTGACAAATTACATATTTTAAGGACGTGGGAAAAATCGCAACAGAAACGGATCAAGGGCACCACCTAGAAATTTTCAAAATACCCTCTGCATTAACCTTAGTTTGTCGTAGAAGCATGAAATTTGGTATGCTTGTCCAATTCCCCAAGGTGCACAGAAAACCCTCTGACACCAATGTTATACGATAAACAGGAAGGAGGCCATTTTGGAATGACCTCCCAAAGTTCATACCTTTTTGGCGGTTTACAGCCTCCGCATTTGAACAAACTCCTCCTAGGGATTTCGCTCAATTAGTTTCAAACTTGGCTATTTTGGGCAAAAGGCATGGGGGACACAAAGTTATCGAAACGGTGCATTTTGGAGCATGCTGAAGGGGTGGGGCCAGACCTCAAAATTTGACATCTCGCCATGAAAAATGAAACGTTAATAGCTCCTACAGGAAAACTGTGTAGGACCTCAAACCTTCAGTGATTGATCGACATCCAGTCCCCTGCAAGACTGAATGGTCAAATCATGACATCACTTAAACCACGCCCCCAACAACAGGAAGTGTAAAGTTTTACGTTGAGCACCTGACCCCTGTTACCTGATCAGCATGATAGTGTGTCCAGTGACTGAAGACATGTTGGTGTAACTTGATTTCCAACACTGACAGTCTTGGGTGGAGCATGTGGGTGGCGCGGCGTGGCAAAGTAAGGCGTAACGCCATCGCCATACGTTTGGCTCTAAATTCCACACATTTGAACCGAGGTGCACCAAAATCTGTTTGATCGATCATTATCCACCCCTTGAACAGGAAGCCATGACAATTGGCCAATAGCCTACACAGCGCCCCCTAGAATATTTTAAAACCTCAGCCCCAAGCCATTTTTTGACTGATAATTCTGCAACTCGGTGAACATCTGTATCTTCTCAGGACCTATGAAATACTTTCTTGGAGCCCTGGTCAAAAGCCAACAGAAAGTCGGCCATTTTGGGTCAAAGGGTCATTTTTGTGCGTTTTGAATTGCAAATTTTAACAAACTCCTCCTAGGAATTTTGAAGGATTGCCTTCGACTCATCCCAGTTGGATGCCCGACAATCCACTGTGGTCACACTGTGATGTCATCAAAGCCCCACCCCCTAGGAACAGGAAGTTTTTTTTTAACTTGGAATGCTCCCTCTTTGACACCATTGACCTAATCAGGATGATCCTGTGTTAGAAGACAGATAAGATGGTCTGACTTGATTTAAAGTGCAAACCGTTTTTGCTGAAGGATGTGGGCATGGCAGTGTGGCAAATTAAGAAGTGACGCCGTTGCAATACGTTTGGCTCTAAAATACACAGATTTCATCCAAGGTGAACCAAAATTACTATGATCGATCATTATCCACCTCTTGAACAGTTATCTATTATAAGTGGCCAATAGCCTCCACAGCGCCACCTACATTCTTCCTACAGTTATCGCTCTGTGATACAACATCTTATCTGCACCAGATTTTTGGTGCGTCATTAGTGAGCACTTGTATACACATTGGTATTGTTTTTTAACTTTTATCTCCAGTGTGCCCATAGATTATTCCAACAGTTATATCTCAGTGAATTATCATCCAATATGTACCAGATTTTATCTGCTTGATTAGTGAGCACTTATAAACACATTGATATTGTTCTTTAACATTGGACTCAAGTGCGCCCCCTACATTATTCCAACAGTTAGAGCACAGTGATACATCATCCAATCTGAACCTGAGTTTTTGTGCTTCATCAGTGAGCACTTGTAGACAAATTGGTATTGTTGATTCATGACATCACTTAAGCCCCACCTACTCAGAGAAAAAACTGTTGATTATTGGATGACACTTCCAGATCCGCACTGTGTAATATATTAGCCTGAAACTTTGTTCGCTAACTGTTGATTACCACACATGACATGTTGAAAAGCATAATTTACCACACAAGACATTTTGAAAAGCATAAAGGAAGTGCGTGTCAAACATTCGCCACAAAACAGGAAGTCACCATAACTCCTGTCTGGAAGGTCAGATTTTGCCTATACTTATAAGACCTGCAGCTGGACAAATAACGACATGGACGGAAGGCAATGTCGAAGATTCGGGAAATGCGCCCCGTGGTGAACGCGTGCGGGATTGGCACGAGAGCGTTCGCGATGGCAATTGGATGGACAAGCTGGAGCTCCTGTGGTCGCCATAAGGCTGGAGCAACATTTTGCTGCGAGGGCCTTCAATGCTGCTTGCAGCTTTAATTTTGTTTTTCTTTTCTGGCTTTTTTGGGGGATTGGGCAGGTGTTGGAGTTAACAAATGAATTAAAGCTGTAATCTTTGGAACCAAGAATAATGTTTCCATGTTACACATTTTTGAAATGTACAGCTATGCAGTTGATCCTTTTTTAATCACCTTAGATGAACATTTTGTATTTATTTTTTTATGGAAAGCATTATTGTATGTTTTGTAAAAGGGATTTTTTTTATTAATTTTTGATTTATATCTTAATATAAAAGTTAAATAACGCCACTGAAAGGCCGAGATAAATATCTAAAACTCAAAAGTATTAAAATCTAAAAAAAATAAAAAATATTAAGTCTTTTTGTTCTTCTTTTGGCTTTTCCCTCTTCATGCATCTCTACCGCGAGTCATCCTCCTCCATTTCATTCTGTCCTCTGCATCCTCTGTCCTCTCTCCAATTACCTCATGTCCTCTCTAACTGCATCCATATACTGTATATCCTCTTTGGCTTTTTACCTGGCAGCTGCATTTCTAACATCCTTCTACCAATATACCCACTGTTTCTCCTCTGGACATGTCCAAACTTTCTCAGTCTGGCCTCTCTAACTTTATCTCCCAGTTGTTCAACCTGTGCTGTACCTCTGATGATCTCATTCCTAATCTTATCCATCCTTGTCACTCCTAAGGAGAACCTCCACATCTTCATTTCTGCCATTTCAGTTCTGTCTCCTGTGTTTTTGTCCATGTCTTCATCTCCAGACCAAACAACATAGCTGGTCTCACCACTGTCTTGTAAACTTTTCCTTTCACCTTTGCTGCCACCCTTTTGTCACAAATCACTCCTGAAACTTTTTTCCATCCTGCCTGGACTCTCTTTTTCACCTCTTTACCACACTCCCTGTTTTGTTGGACAGTGGACCCCATGTACTTCAAGTCCTGCACCTTTGTGACCTCTGCTCGTTGTAGCCTCACTGTTCCAACAGCCTCCCTGTCATTCACACACAACCCTGTCTTACTATGGCTGACTTTCATTTCTCTTATTGAAGTGTATACCTCCACCTCTCTAAGTTCTCTTACACCTGTTCACTGTTCTCACCACAAATCACAATGCCATCTGCAAACATCATAGTCTACGGGCATTCCTGCCTGACCTAATCTGTTAGTCAGTCCATCAGAGCAAACAAAAAGGGGCTCAGAGCCGATCCTTGATGCAATCCCACCTCCACCTTAAAGCTAACTGTCACTCATACAGCACATCTCACCACTGTCGTGCTGTTCTCATACATGTCTTGCACCAGTCATACGTCTCTGCCACTCCAGTTTTCCTCAGGCAATACCACACCTTCTCCCTCAGCACCCTGTCATATGCTTTTTCTAAATCCACAGGCACAGTGAAGTTCTTTATGACCCTCTGTTACAACCTGGCTCAGCAAGGAAAAGGGAAGGTAACAATAAAAACAGGTCGAAATAGGTTTTAAATAGAAGTGATGATTTACCAACTGACACTCTCTGTACTTCTCCATCAACATTCTCAAAGCAAAGATGTCATCTGGGGTACTCTTTCTTGGCATGAAACCGTACTGCTGCTCACAAATAGTCACCTCTCGTCTAAGTCTAGCTTCCACAACTCTCTCACTGGTCCTCATTGTATGACTCATCAACTTAATTCCCCTGTAGTTGCTACAACTCTGTACATCACCCTTGTTCTTTAAAATGGGCACTAGCACACTTTTTCTCCATTCCTCAAGCATTTTTTCTCTCTCTTTACTTTACATTATTATCATTGCCATAACAGTTATGAATAAAAACAAAATTGTGATAGAGTATCATACACGTACACATTAATAAATTAGCACATAATGGTGCGAAAGAACTTTGCAAGTTCTGATGATCATCCATCCATCCATTTTCTTTACCCGCTTATTCCATTTTGGGTCACGGGGGTCGCTGGTGCCCATGTCCAGCAATCACTGTGCGAGGGGCAGGGTACACCCTGGACGGGTCGCAAGTCCATCACAGGGCCACATAGAGACAAACGAGACAAACAACCATTCACTCTCTCACTCACACCTAGGGACAATTTAGAGTTACCAATCAGCCTAACATGCATGTTTTTGGACTGTGGGAGGAAACCGGAGTACCCGGAGAAAACCCACGCATGCACGGAGAGAACATGCAAACTCCACCCAGAAAGGCCGCTGGACCGGGGTTTGAACCAGGGACCTGCTCGCTGAGAGGCAGCAGCTCTACCAGTTGCGCCACCGTGCTGCCCCGTTCTGATGATCAGTGTAAACATAAATGATAATACAGCATCTAAGGGCAGGATAGAAGAAGGGAAAAGTGTAAACAGCAAGAATGGTTGCTGCAGCAATGCAATATTCATTTCACAGTTATTGACATGACGGAATTTGAGATGTAAGGATAATGAGCAGGGTCACAGAGAGATGCTGTTTGCTTAACAGTCTCACAGCCTGTGGGTGTACTGTGAGTCATT